TATCACATAAAGGCCACTAGAGCCAATAAAACCTTTAACAAAGATTTTAACCAGCATCGAACTGAGAAGTAGCTCGTTCCACCAGGTGTTTGCTAATTGCTGCTGGCTAGTCTGAAGGAACTGCTCTGTGAGCTTCGAAGCTTGAAAGAAGAAACTCCAAGGAGGGATGGTGCCTTGTAGGCGGAGCTAGGTCCACCCAGGTGTTTTACACAGCTGAATGGTTACCACAGGAAATTACAAGATTTCTCAAACATGCAAAAAAGAAATCAAAGCAACAGTTCAGGTAAGTTTTTTAATGAAGGAATGACATTAACAAGTCAGCAGCACCTGAGAAGGGGAGGAGCTCACAGACAGACAACAAGACACCTGCAACCCAGCCCATAAACACCCAGGGCCGTAACACTACTAACAGCACCACTGTGCCTCTTTTTATAAAATTATTGAAATGGACATTTGTTTCCTGTTCACTGTTACACGTTCAGTAACAGTGAACAGAAGTCTGCAGAGCGCGGAGCTGCAATCGCAGCCCAGATGCAAACAGAGACAGTGGGATTTTCCAATTACTGCAAATTGAAAGCCTCCAAGCAGTTGGTGTTGTTTTTATCTAATTGAGTTTTCTAATACCGAACATCGTTCATCGCGTCTAATGAAGATTACTCACCAGGGTGAAAAATGAGCAAAATCAGCCTCCCAAATGTAATATTGCATTTCAGAATATAATCTATCAGTGATATTCTGACTGGGAGGAAATATTTCATTGATGTCGTTTGTTAGTGGAAATTTTCTTAAAAGAGGAAATTATAGATGAGGAAAAACAAATGTGATTCAGTCCCTCAGTGAGATCATTTTAATATAATCTGAACCCAAAAAGCAAAACGCAGAACCAAATTAAGATGTGGAGATAATTAACATATTTCCTTTGAGATTTATTCATCGCTGACACAATCAGAGTGTGTGTGTGTGTGTGTGTGTGTGTGTGTGGTGTGTGTGTGTGTGCGCGTGGGGGTGTGTGTGTGTGTGTGTGTTAAACAGTAAAATGTTCCATCACTCTTTCAACCAGAGTGTATAAAATGTTTGCCGTATTTTCATCAAACCTTGATCTCTTCCCCCAGCGATGTTCTTCAGAAACTATAAAACTGTGTTTGATATTTTTTAACTTAAATTGTCTGCAGGTTTCTTCCTAATAGAAGCAAAAGGTTTTGATCATTTAACTGTGTGGCGTTCATGGTCTCTTTTCTATTGTCTTTGTCTCCAGTCATGAATGTAGGTATCTATGTGTGTGTTATCCTGGCTGCTTTGTCCAGTGGCTCCCTGAGTCTGCCTCCACAGTCAGTGGTAAGACACACACACACACATTGACACCATAAGTCACAAAAAGGGAGATTTTTTAATTTTTTGTTGTTTTTTGTCATAGAGTACTTCAACACACTAACTATACAGGCCGACAAGAAAGAATGACATGAAAATCAGCATCAAGTTGAATTCAATTCCAAAGGATTTTCCATACGTCTTCCTTTCTTCTCCCAGAGAGCTGAGAATACGCCTCACTTGAACAGCCTCCATGCTCCGCCGCCCAGCCAGAGGCGCCAGGTCCGCTTGGCTCTAGAGCCACAGTCAGTCCTGCACCGCTACCATGGCCCCGTCTATCCCCTCAACAGCCGTTTACATGCTCCACAACATCAAACAAAACAGTCGTTCCTGGACAGACTCGTTCGCAGGCAAAGTGAGTTCTCTGGGTTTTGGAGGCAACAACGAGAAGCTGGGGTTATTAACATCTTTCCCTTCAGCCATTTATCTTTCTCTCATCGTCCGGTTATTCTTTTCCATCAGCATTCCACTGTCGTTCACGCTGAGCCCGTGTCCCACCTCCTTCCTGCCTCCTTCTCGTCTCCTCCACTTCTTTCTTACCAAACCTCCTCCCCTGCATCCTCTCCTCCCTCATCTCCACTTCCCTCTTTAGGTCTGCTGAGCTCACTGCTCTTGCAGAAAGTTTAAGGACAGAAATGAAAACATCATCAGCAATGTAGAAGATACAGGATGAATCCTCCTCACTCAATGTGTTTGATCTCTTCCAGTCCTTCCTCCCTTGGTCTTCTGGACCATGACTCAGCACTTCCCCCGCAAGAAAAAGAATTAGACGGCTGGATGGAGAAAGTTATGCAGAGAAAGATGGCCTCTTCTCCGCCGACCCTGTCACAGCACCACATTGTGATTTTCAGTTTTTACAACAAACTTGATGTAGAATATTGTACTGAGCTTAGCATCAATCGACAACCTGCTGAATGAATCAGATAATGACAGATATAAAAAATGGAAAGCAGCGTTTTTCCCCAATTAAATCATTTCATTAAAGGCAGAAGCTCCATCATGTTTTACATCAGTAGAGCTCTTTGAGGAGTCATCTAGTCAAATACAGATCAAGTGCTACTACTGAGGACAGTGCATGGTTTGTATGATTTCCACACATAAAGGACAATTGTATCAAACTGCTGAAAATATTAAAATATCTCCTCTTCAAAAGTTGGAATTTTTCTGGAGCATTTTATTGAATGTCTGGATCTCTCACCGTTTTTGGTGTGAAAAAAAGCAGCCGGGGCATTTCGTTTGGAGTCGCAATACGTTCAGTTCACAGCACACAACCTGTTTGCTTTAACTTCACACAGATGTCCAGAAATCGCTTATCCATGTCCAGAGGTGGATCAACCGGGGTCTCATCGGATGGTAGATGCTACTACGTGCCACTATTTGGCAACAGTGCTGCAATATTCAGCAGATTAAAGCTCATAGCGATTAAAAAAAAATCTTAAAAATGAATAAATGGGAATGCGTTCGCTGACAGGTCACTATTTGGCAAGGAAGTCATGTTAATTGGCAATGGCTATGCAATTTAAAGAAATAATCGCAAATACGTTTGTCAACAATGTGTTTGTGGCAACAACATCTCAATATTTAGCAATAGTGTCTTGCGTCTGACTAAATAGCATCACACTATTCAGTAACAGCATCGCAGTATTCTGCAAAGCGTCACAATATGAAAACATAAATAATCATCAATGGCGTCATGATTAGCAACAGCCTCTCACCATTTAGCAAAAGCTTCACACTATTCAGTAGTAGGCAGTCGGGTCACAAAATGGTCTGGTGTACTTAAGATGGTGTCATGAGGAAAGAACGTTACAATACAGTATTCATATTTTCATGTGCAATATGGGAAAGACACAAGAACACGTCATTCAACTAAAAAGGACATCACTTGATGTTTATCGGAAAATAATTTTCTCAGAGAACTTCAGAGTGCGATCGTGAGTCCACCAAGGTTTCATAACGCTCATTTTACAAAAGGAGTCCCAGTCGTGCCAATAATTGTAGCGAATACATGAAAGAAAAAGGCCAATTTAACAGTTTTACATTGTAATCCATTTATGGTGTCATTTAAAATAAGTGTGCTGATCTTTTCATGTTATTTCAGTGAAAATTTCAACGACCAAAAACAAACTCAGTTACGCACTCGAATCTTTTAACTTCTTTATTTTTAACACAATAAGCAACATTGTCATCTCGCTCTTCTGTAGCACATGAAAATAGACATCCACACATCAGCATATTCATTAATTTGAAATGGTATCATCATTAGAGATACACCTTGCTAAACATTCAACGTGTTAAAAAACAAAAAAAAAAACACGACAAAACAAAAAAATACAATTGATCTTAAACCCTAGTGTTAAAAGTATTAAGACACAAATCCCGGTTTGAAGAAAATTTGAGGTGTAACATTCAAATCAGCATTTTGCTTGTTTATGACAAGTTAGTGGTGTGGCAAAGAAAAAAAACAAACAAACGGATGACTAAAAGATCCTTCAGGTTTTACCACAGAAACATCAAGAACAGCTCCTTCTGTTCAGGATGTAGAAACAATGAAAGTAGCAGCTACTCGTTTACCTTGTGACCAATGAGATTTAATGGCAGCTTGCCAGGAAGCTCTCAGATCAGGTACTGCATGCCAGAGGTCAAAGTGCAACAGATAAGTCAGAGGTATACTTTATAACAAACAATGTACTCCTCCCATTCTAACACTTTAATTAATTCACTAAATGTCTTAAATGAGAGAAAACTACCCGGATCAGATTGGAAGTTATTTTGATTATTTCTACAATTTTAATATTATAAGAAATAACAGACATTTGGCACAGGTGAGAGTATGGCTATGCTGGGATATTCTGACTTATGAAGCGATTAGCTAAGAGTTGCTAATTATTTGTCTTAACTGGCTCAGAGGTAATGATCTAAAAATATGACTGGGTGTGCTTACGAGTTATGGAGATTGTTGAGAAATGTATGCAGAAAGTGGCAGTGCGGACTGAAACAGAATGACAGACTGTATCCAAACCGATGAGGCTGATTCTAGGAAACGAACCGAGACAGCGAGATGGTCCAATGGACTTCCAGATGTAGCGTTAAAAACAGTTTGTTTATTATCACTTGCTGGTCCAACATGTCTGTTCTAAACAAACCCTTTATATATATAATGTATAACTAGCAAAAACATGCTAGCTATCAAAAAAGCAGCTATTGGTTAGCTGCTGTTTAGTTATTGCTAGATAATCTAATACCTACTGAAAATGGACCACAGAGCAGAACTGTAATAAACCAATTTAATTCTCAGTCGTGCATCTGTTTTACTTCTGCAGAGTCACGATGTGATGACAACGATAAGCTACAAGCCAAACTGATAGTAAAGTATCATCTGCAAACAAATGTCACTTGCGTGATGATTTAATATTGAAAGATATGTCATAAAATATTCATTTTTGAACACATTCACCTTTGGAATAACTTCAGATTGTATATTTCAGTAAATAGGAACACAATGTATTTCAGTATTGCCACACTGAACAGTAAACACTATAGACACAGTTGTTGGTCGCTAAAATACATTTATATACATCACGCCTCTCAAGTATCATAATGAAAAAAAAAAGAAGCTGCTGATTCTTAACTGAAGGTGCATTTGTTTTTTATTTATGACAGTGAATTTTCTCGCATCATAGGTTGAAATGATCATATCAATAAGACTGGTTATTTGTTCTGTCTTGTTCCAGTTTGGTTTTGATAGATGTTGAGATCAAGTTGTAAAGATCGCTTTATATGAAGGCTACACATTTTACGGCTTACAGGTTGTTTTGTAAACTGAATGTTTTTCAATTCCTGATTTCTTTTTATTGAATGTATTACTCAGATCTAGTCGACCACCGCAGACTTTTTTTTTTCTTCTACTGAAAAAAAAACAACCTCTCAGTCTTTTCCACAGCTGATTGTCCAGGTGTCAGTGAAAGTGGCCCATCGCTTCAGCTGCCTTTACCCTCACCACAGGATCTGGATCCTGCAGCAGCACCACTAAACCTGTGCACGCAGACACAATTAACCTGTGAGTGTTCACAACCCTTCAATCAACCCAATTGATTTAAAGGGCGACTGCTGAACTTACCTTTGGAGATGGTGCCCATGTTGAGGTGAGAGAGGTGCTCCTGCTGAATATTCCCCAGGAGGAACCCTAGTGGAGGACGCCGTCATTGCAACACGTCAAAAAGCAAATCCACGCAAGATTGACCAGAATACTCGTTTTGTTTCATTGTTAGGAACCAATGTTTACAGTGAAAGAGGTATTGCAGAAAAGCAGCTGTACCTATAAACATGGCCGCTGCAGCTCTGACTTCAGGCCAGTTGCTCTTGAAGAACTGGATGACGGAGATGTGGTAGAAGTTCAGCATGCCGGGAAAGTCCTGAATCTACAAGCAACAAAATCAGCACTGATCAAAAACCAACAACAAACATACTGTCTGCTGGTACAACGTCATAACGACAACTCCTTTGGAGCAACTCGAGAGAATATTCTGCAAAAAGACTTTAATGCATTGATCTTTTTTTTTTTTCAAACAGAGAAACAAATATTTCTAAATGAAAGCGGCTGAAACCCGTCTCACCAGGTACTTTGTGAGGTCGTTGATGAACTCTCCGTAGTGCAAACTTTTGTCCTCGTGCAGGTGGTTCTGAAACATGGCTGTGATCTGCTCTGACCCAACGACAGGCGCACACACTCGCATCGCATATTTACACGCCTGAAAAAAATCAACATTGATTTATAGCAGAGGAGATGCATGAATGAAAAGGTTAAAGCAGCAGCTTGAATTGTTTCTTGTCCTCCTGTACCTTCACCACTTGAGTGTTTGGGTCCACCAGGTGCAACAGCAAGCTGACCAGGACGTTGTGGATCTGGTCCTTGAAAACCTGCTCTCCCGAGCCAAACTTGGACAGGTTTCCCATTAGGAGGATGGAAGCACAGCGTATATCGTCATTGTCCTGCACAAACACGCGGCCAGACGGATCCGTTAGATCACGGGCCTCAATATCGAGCTGAAACCAGCTGCGGTCTGAAAAACTGCGGCTTACAGAGGTGATAATTCAGGAGAAAATGCACTTTGTTAGGAGAGGAGAACGAAAAGATTTCTTAAAACTAAAGTATGACCAATGTAAAACAATACAGCAGCACAATGCATTGAACTGCAACTGTCTCACTTTCTGCATAGCCATATGTATTTAGGAAATTGTATCATTATTATAAATTTTTCTATCACTGTGCAGCTCTAAGTGACATGTTTGATCAAAATTATGGGCATAATAATAATACGGCTACAAAAGTGGTAACAACAGAAATAAATGTTGACAATTATGTTAAAAAGGATTGTTTGAAAAATCTGTAAAATAATATGCAAAGAATGAGGAAAATGTCCAAAATTAATGAGCAATTTTAATCAAGTAAAGGGAAGCTAAGGGAGTTTTAATTTTTAAGGATAATAATGTTTGTCCTTTAATTTATGTCTGATATGGATTAACGAGAATATAAACCTAAACTGACTGGGACAGGAAGAAATCCTGCAAATGCAGGAGAATGACCTCATTAGTTCCTGAAATGATATTATCTTTCAAAAGGGGGGAAGAAATAAGACTGCTAAAGGATTAATTAAAAAAAGAAAAAAATATATAAAGGATATCATCAACTTACATTTTCTAAGAAGGGTCGAATCTTCATGAAGATGTAGACCACCAGTAAGTGAACGTTGTTCTTGTCCAGGTGGAGAAGAACTTTAGACAGACCGGACATGGCCTCCAAGGTGATCAGTTTACCTGACAAAACCATAAGTAACCAGTTAGTTTCCAATCAAAAGTAAAACTAAACATTAGTGACACCAAACTGTTGTTCCTTTCTCACCCGGATCGTCTTTCTCCTCCATTCCTGAGCTCATGGCTGCCAGCAGCTCCTTGGCGTATTTATTCACCTAACGGGAGAGAGCAACGAGTTAGGCTGCAGCCACCTCAGCGTGCGAACGGTGGCCTGGTTGACCTTTATGTTGGTGCACCTTTTCTGGCGATCCCACTGCTATGTTGCCGAGTCCTCGCACCGCCAGCATGCGCACGGTGCAGCAGGGATCCGATATCCTCTCCATCATGTTGTTCATCAGGACGTCTATCAGCATCAGCTCCGTCGCCACATGATGGTTCAGCAGCTGGACGCAGAAAATGAGCCGGAGGAAAATTAACGAATTCTTGCGTTACTGAACAAAAGCGATCGGCGCTTCCTGTTTCGCGATTCCCCGTCTTTAGTTAAATCGTTTTTCTATTGGCCAAGTCATCAAAGCTACATCTGCAGAGAGCATTTTAAGTTAGCGTGCTTGTCAGCGAGCTGGAGGTGATTTTCAGACAGTTTCTCACCTCAGAAAAGAAAGCGGTGACGGTAATCCTCTGACATTCGTAAATGTTGTTGAGGTTCGGACAGAGACACTCTACGATCGCAGGCAGTCTGGGACCAGCATGCTTCGCCATTGCTCTATAAACAAGACAAACATAACCAAAAGTACAGAATATAGAGTGGAAAAATGACCTAATTTCACATCTGCATACTCTGTACGTAACAAAAGGTCTACCTGTAAGCATTACTGTACTTCTGTGTAGCTTAGACTTAATTTTATTTTTATATTGTCCAGCTAGCCTTTGTTTCTGCACGTTTACCTTGCTAGAAGCGTTACCCCGGTAACGTGTGTATTTAGCTCCTTCATGGCATCCCAGGCATCGTCTTCATCGAGTCGTTTCATCACCTCATCCAGCTGAGCTCGGGCCAACAGGATTCTCAGAGCCTCGGCTGCAACCCTGCAACACAAAATGCATCTTTACTAAAGTAAAACTACTAATCTGCAGCCAGCGGCTCCACAGAACCGTGTTGCTATTTAGCCCCAAAGGTAACGCTCGGTAACTTTGACCTCACAATATACAGAAATAAATGAGGATTATTGATAAATGAGGCAACTGCAAAAGGCTATTCACAGCAGTAAGACAATATCACAAGAGACTTTGCTCTAAAATATACTTCATTTCTTCAAGAGGGCTCAATTAGCCTCGTGTTTCTAGAGAAAAGTGAATTTTTCCCTTTTTTTGTAATAAGATTTGTTTTTCTTTTATTTTAAAACTAAAACCTAATTAAAACCCAGTAAAACCTTCTTTATTAAATTCTACCACATGTGAAAGAATTTCATATGAAAGACAATGACTTAATTTTTACGTTCAAAGTGCGATTGATAATGTCACTAGAGGAAAATTAATGAAAGAATTTATATTAAAATTATATAGTGAATTTCCAATTTACCATGTGAATAAATTGGAAAGGGAAGGTGGAGAGATTGGTAAGAAATTTGAAATCTTTTTTGTTTTTGTTATATTGCAAAAAAAAAAAAAAAGGACAGAGGAAAGAAAAAAAATCTTTATTTCACAATTAAATTTACTAAATATGTATGAAACCAAAAGATTCAATAGGTGTATTGACATAAAAAACACAATGAAGACTGGTTTGCCTTCATCTCTAGACAAGTAAAAAGCTCTTTGGATTTCTAAAGGCCGCCGATCCCTGAAACACACCAATGAAAACAATCCAAAGCAACGTACCCTGCGACATGCAGGGAGCCAGAGTGTTTATGGTTGTTGTCTTTGGGTGGCATGACTCCGACGCTCGCTCCCAGTCTGACGGTGAGACATGAGAAGAGCTGAGGGAACAGGCTGAGTGCTGGTTCCTGAGACTGACCGTTCAACAGCAGCTCCTTCAGGCCGCACGTCATCTGGACACATAAACACGCGTCGACACATTACCTTCGTCTTCCGCGCATAAAGTTGACTCTGTTTTGCTCTAGACTAGATTTAATTTCACACCACAGAATCTGCTTTAGTCTTTATAACAATCAGCACTGGGATGTTTTCAAACTGAAGGCGCTTGATTGTCCCACTTACTGCCAGAGGCTGATTGGTGGCCATTTTGGTCATGCCTCCCCTCATCATAAACTCCTTCTTGTCAACATAGGGCGCTGTGATGACAAGCTTCTCCATCACCATCTCCATGATCTGATTGGCTACAATGGGATCCGCTCCCATCGCCATCCACATCTCACTGGTCCAGCTGAGGAAGCAGAAACATTCAGCACTGGCAGATTAATTCACAAAATAAAAGGGTGAAACAAATAAAACATGAGTATTAAGAAGAATGAAGCTTTTTACTGCAGGCGGTCTTGTGTACCTGTCATAAGGAAGTGGTTGGTTGACTAGAGTGTTGACGACAGTCTGCAGATGCTGAGAAGCCAGGATCAGTACAGTCTGTCCCACTGCGACTCTCACCTTTAAATACAATGAAAACATTTCATCATGACTTCAGGTCAGAGGAACCAAACTCATTTTTACTTCAGGCCACATTAGGATTATCAATCAATCAATCAATCAATCAATCAATCGCACTTTTCTGGAACAAGGCAGTTCAAAGTGCTATATTGTGCTCTTTAGATTACCTTTTGGATTATCATGCAGAGAGATTCCTACTATTGCAACCCAGAACAGAGATTATAACAAACTTAGAATAAAGAAAAAAAACCTCAGCAACTTTTTAGGCTCATATTCTTCCAACCCAGGAAAGAAATTAGACTTATTTATATTCATCTAGTTTATATACTTTGGATCAACATTATTGGATTATTTTTCTTCTTTTGCTCTTTCCTTTGGTTTGTTATTTTGTTTGTATTTCCTTTTAATTCAAGTAAAGCACTTTGAATTGCCTTACTGCTGAAAATGTGCAATATAAATAAAATCCCTTTACCCTTACATCATAAAAACACAAAAAGTACAAAGCCATCAACAACTGAAATATTGCATTTTGCCAAGTGCCGTCATTACACATGAAAATGTTGTTAGTGTTTCATTTCATTATGGTTCAATAGTAAATCTAAACAGGTGGGTCTGATTATCAATATACTCAAAGAGCCAATTGTGCCAAAAATATGTCAATATAACTACAAAATTAAACTTAAAATATAAATGTATGGGTGTCTGCATTCTTTGAGTTCTTCTTAAAGTTAAATAATCTTGGACTTTTATTTTTTATGTTTTTACACTTTAATGCAATTTGGCAAAATACAGATAAAACGGCTTAAGATGCATTGATAAAATAACATTTAGACATCAAACTGTTTCCTTGAAGGCTCTAATGTTATAGCGAGTCATATATAAATGTAACACGTGTTAATACCTGCTCCTCTGTAATGCTTTGCAGACGCACATGCAGAACCTCCAGCATTTCTGGGACCTGCAGAGCCAGCACACACGCCACGCGTTACGCCACCTCACGATGTTAGACGTCAGCAGCCCTAATGTGTCCCGTGTGCTTACCAGGTCTTGTAATCCGGCGCCCCTGTTTTTCAGCAGAGTGTTTAAGATGACGGACGAAGCTCTGCAGCAGTTGGCCTGACTGTCGACCAGCCCTTCAAACAACATGAAGACCAGCGTCGTCAGCTGCTGCTGAGGCAGACGCTTACTCATCACCTGACACACGCAGGAGAACATGCAGTTACACACCGCTGAGCTTTTCAGGTTCGGAATACACTTAATAGGAATATTAAACGGACATGGAGATGAAAACATGCCGATATGTATATTACTGTAGGAAAATGTCAACACTTTACTCCATTAACGTTCCAAAATTCAATGTGTGTGTTTGGCATAATTAAGAGGACAAAAAAAATTTACGCAGTGCAACCAACTCCTTTAAGCTACATTTCAAATAAATGGTGTAGACTTAATGTTTTTGCATATTTTGCCCTAATGACAGAAGAGACAACAAGGACGATTTATTATTCCTGTTTTTAATTGACTGCATGGCACAACAACGCTGCTCTAGAACAACATCCACATTTACCTTTGTGAGGTCTGAACAGGTCTTGTAAAGCACTGAATGGTCCGGGTTCACCAGAGCTTCCTTTAGAGTCAGCAGATCTTCAACACCTTCATCTCTATAGTCCAAGGAGAATCCTAGGAAACACAAAACAAAAATATTACAGTGCAAATCCCTTCAGCCTCTGTAAAACTGTCGTATCTCATCATGAAGAGTGTGGGTACCTTCGTATCGTAGCTGTATGGAAAGCAGCGTGTAAATGCAGTCGACAGCCGCGGCGCGTACGGCCAGCAGAGGGTCAGAGCAGCGGGGAGACAGCCGACCCAGCAGGGCTCCCAGGTTGTGGAAAGACACCATACACTGCAGACATGGGGAAGCACAAACAAGCAAAATGAAACAATTGGAACAATTATTAGTTCAACCAAAGAGAAACAATACTAGAGTCAAATTTTAAATCACAAAAACGTGTGGGCTGTGCAATAAAAAGAAGTCTAAAGAAATGGCAGATCATTTAAGACTTGGTTATCATGAGGTTTAAAGATGCATTCGGTTCTCTGTGTGATGTGTTGACGTGTACCTTGACTGTCAGGTTCTCCAGGTAGTAAGCCAGCAGGTTCGAGGTGGCCGTCATGGCCCTCTCCCTCTCATGGTCATGTACAGAGGCCAGCCATGATTCAATGTGCTGCAAAGGATGAAAACAAAACGTTCGGCTCGGAGGGTAAAATTAACACACAAAAACAGTACAACACAAACTTTAAACATATATGTAAACACAAAAGAAGGGTGATACATCACTTACTTGACTGACTGGCTATAATAGAGATATTTTTCCTTCTTTTTGTAACTGTATTGTCTAAACAAGGATAACCACCACAGATTCAGCTAATCAAGTTCAAAACTGAATAGAAACACGCTATGAATACATAAAGATTAAGCTGCACTGACAATCTCATAAGAGCAGACATCAGGCTTCACCTTAAAGATACTCTGGAAGCCGTCCGGACTGGGATCCCTGGCCAGTATGCTCCTCAGAAGCTCCTGCAAAGCAGCCAGTGTGTCTTTGTACAAAACCTAGAGGGATGAGACGAGAGCGTTTTTATATTAAAAAAAATAATAATAAAGTGACTGAGCGAGACCAGCATCAACCTAAACAGTGTGCGTCTGTCTGGACATTTCATCTTTGACTCACCTTTCTCTGCTTGGGGTCGAGGATCTCCTCGTCTTTAGTTTTCTCTGGAGTGTGTGTGTCGGGCGGCAGGGAGAAGACGCCGTTCACACACACCTTGAGCAAGTCAAAGCTCTCATTCTCACTTAGTGGAGGGTCCAGGGACCTGAAGCACTCGCAGTTAAAGATTAAACTCTGGAAGAAAGCGAGGGCAAACACCTGTGGGTGATATGGCAATATTACATCATGAAGGATCCGAAATTGCTGACAATGAAGAGAGATTGTGGGATCATCTGGGAGACAAAATCTGTGAATTTAGTTTCATTCTCCGCCTCAGACATTTCAGTTTTATTTTCCTCCTTTGGCTCACACAGAAGGGAGGAAATGATTACTGGTTTTAATAAACAACATGGCAATGATATATTATTAATATAATACAGTTACTATTAACGTTTCAGAACAACATTAGCCTGGAAGCCAAAATGTGTGACACAGTGTGTTAGTTGTGCAGATGTGACCAGCGTTGGGAATGTCCTTTGGTTTTTTTTATGCAGAATTACTGTAATTAAATGATGACTTTACAAAAGAAACTAATAAATTTTTTTGCCACACGGCAAACCACAACAGCCACCTGAACGTCCATGTAGTAGACCAGTGATGACTGGTTTTATGTCAAGCATGTTAAAGCTTTATTTATTACGAAACAAGTGTCTTTATTACATTTTATACTCATCAAGTGAATTTAAACAAAAGTAGTAAATGTGAATGCATTTATGCCATTTTCACATCTGAAATGTGGATCATCGTTCAATCGTATTTCTGCAACAGGCCAGAAAACACAGCGGCTTTAGAGAACTAAAGGATACACAAGGTTGGCACAGGTTGTCATCACCAGGGGGCGTACTGCAGTCCTTAATGAGTCAGACGGCTCTGACTTGATGAAATCCTGATCCGTGAAATCACAACACAGGAATTAAAAAATAAATAAAGGGAAATATTATAGTAATTTCAATGACACTATGAGTTAGTTGGTAAATAGTAATAACACAGACCAGCATAACGGTGATGAGCTCCTGCTTGCGGGAGAAGATGTAGCCTTGTTTCTTCACACATCTGCTGATGGCTTTAGCTATGAGCCCAACGCTCTGGATCAAACTGAGCTTCATGGTCAGGTCCTGCATCCAGGCAAAGACCGACAAAAACAAGCACCGGAATCAAATGCAAGAACTGCTCCAGCAGACTGAGTTTTATTAATAGTGAACGCAACCATAAGAGCAAAGCACCCAGCAAAGCAATCATTTTAATCAATCCAAAAATGCTGTTAAAGATTGATCCTCCATGCCCAAAGATGGAGAGAAATCTGAAATCATAGTTGCAGATTTAGAAGTGATTTGAAAAACAGCAGATCAATTGCAGGCTCCCCTGTAAAAAGCATCGGATGAGCCTAAAGCCTCTGAGAAATTGAGTTAGGAAACTACAAGAGCATTTCACACCGAGGGTGAGTCACTGATGAATAATTTAAGAGCAGTCCACCTTTAAGCAACTACCAAGAAAAAAAGAAAGGAAGAAATGTAGATATTTATGAAATAGTTGAGAATGGCATGTTATGATGAGATTTGATAAATGTAGGTTTCTATTGAAGCAATAATAAATGTAAAAAATACATATTTAAAAAACTGCATTGCAGTTTGATTTGTCAGTGACTGCATTTAGCTGCAATCGTAAGATAATTGTTAGCTTTAGGGTTTGTAATCATCATCTTATTAGAGCTTATTGTCACAACAAATCACAAACACCATCATGATTTTAAAAGATAAAATGCTCAAAGTGATGATAAATGATTCAATAACTGGCTATTTCTTTTGTACATGATCTAAAGTAGAGACACAGTATCTTCTAAATTGAATTTAGTTAGATTTTAATAACAATGAAGACCTTCGTCGCTCTTCTGACACCTAGTGTCAAAAAATACAATAAAATAAAACATATGCGCATAAAGTTCACATGATATGAACGGATGCCTCTAATTATCCTCAGGTCTACAACCACACATGATTTAGTTAATCAATAATTTGTTACTGTGGGCCTTTCACAAATATCAAGCAAGGTCAGCAAAAGCTTAAAGGAAATGCGTTTGTTTCATTAAGATCAAGCTGCGTTGAATTGACTTTAGAGCCGTCAGGTAAGTATTTAGCAAAATTACCCAGAGAGGAAAACTAAGAGGAGCAAAATGAAAACCAGAAGAAACAAAACAAAACCCTTTAGTCCTGTAACAATACCTTTGTCTCTACTTTAATCCCAAGAACCTGTATAAAAAGAGGTGACAACGTAATGAGGTCATATACAAATGGTCAACTTCTAAGCATGTTAGGCTGAAAGGTGACATGATCAGAAATGACCTAAAATGTGATGGAATAATTAATAAAAAGCATTTATAAACTGCTCAATACATTTTATGTTGAACAAACACACATCAAGAGGAGGATTAAATGAATGATGGCATGCCTCATTGTGGTGGGAAGGAAAAAGGGACTTGAAATATCCATCTGATCAGAAACTAAACGTTGATCTAAGTCATATTATGATGCTGGTCGGATGTTACAGGCCAGCTTCAGGATGTTTTCCCTTGTTTTGTTTTTTTGCAATGAATGCAATTATATTACTGCAAAACTAAATGTGTCCTGCATTTATTACAAACATGTTACCAAATTATTTATAACTCTTTATCTAAACAACCAGCAGCTGGCTGTGAACCGTCACTTCGGCACAGAAGTGACCTGCAGTACTTCCCACAATAAAGAGGAGTTTAGACAAAGCCACTGTTCACTGATAATAAATATCGCTGTCATCGCAGTGGGGAAGTTATCCAAATTATCTGCATAGACGGTTGGTTTTGTAATCGCTGCAACCTTCTCCCAGCATGCTCCGTACCTTGGTGTTGAAATGTTTACTGATGCAGCGCAAGATGTCCTGATCGATGCGGCTGAGAATCTTCTCTGGAGGTGCGTTCAGCGCCACGTGGCCGTAGCACAGGATCAATGTGCTCTTCACCTTCTCCACCTCAACTTCATTACGCTCCTGTGGCAAGAAAGCGGACAGTAAAACTCTTTGCAGGAAGTCGGACAAAACATTTCCTATATTTGAGAGGGTTTCACAGTTTGTACTTTGAGCAGGTTGAAGATGCTCGGCGACTTTTTGAAAGCGTCCGATTTGCCAAACTCATCGAGTTTGGCTAACGTTCCCTCTAAATGGCTGTTGGCACACAGACCGACACCCATCGCCACTCCCTGAGGAGGAAAGTTAAAAGTTAGACTAAGGTGAAACAGAAATTAATGATGGACATAACTAGTTTTGTTTTATGTTTCATTTACTTCTCTTTCAATTGCATCACTGTGTCGCGCTGCGAGGAGGACTTCCTGTAGCTGCTTCTTCACAACCTCCTTATTGAAACACTGCTGGAGAGTCACTCCGATACATCGGTACAGGAAGCTCTAAAAGAGAAGAAAGGGATTTATTTTCTACACTTTATTAGACAGTTTTATAGCCCTTGTAAATGTCGAATCCTTGACACTGAGAAGTTTGCACAATCATAAACGTTAACAGAAAAAGCAAAAAACAAAAAACGAGGTGACAGTCAGGAGAGATTGCTGCATTACAATCAAGCAGAGCAAACTCTGTGAACCCGGTGTTGGGCCAACAATAACAATAAAAAAGCTAACGAGCTAGCAAGGGTATATTAGCAAGGAGTTACTGATGAGTCACAGAATGCAATTAAGATGTTTGCGTGCGACTCAAACTGTTTTGTCTGACGGAAAAGTCGTGTGAGAAAAAATAAAAAGAGATGAAATTGTCCTGCCACAACAAAACTTAACACCATCTTATATTTCAAGACCTTAATTTTAGACATACAAAAATGAGGCTTATTACACACACAATACCTTCTCCTCCAGGGCGTTGTTGTACGTCGACAGGTATCTTGTTGCTTCAGCAGCAAACTGACAAACCCACTTGTCATCTTCAATCGACATCAGGGTTTGAGTCAAGAGCTTGGGGAAATTTCAAACAGCTAAATATCGATTCTACTAACATCTCGTCAAACGCAAATGACTAATAATTATTGACAAAAGTTTACATTCTTCTATTATTATTGACAATAAAAACCCACCTCTAGGAGTTTCTCATCCCACTTCTTCTTATCCAGACTCTCTGCTGTTGACTCTGAAAATAATATTAATAACACAAGGCAGGTAAAGTGTGATCATACAAAAGAAAAACCTGCACACTTTACTACAATCTAATCAAATTAATAAAGAAACAGTTTCCACACCCTCTAGCAGTGAAAGCAGAGGAGGAATTTCCTTCTCCCAGACCGTTTCTGTTTTGGGGTGAATGTTGATGCTGAGGGTCTGCAGGAGTGAGAGCGACGGCGGTCCATGGCCTCTGCTATTAAAAGGAAATGCTGCGTTGACCTAGAACACAGCGACACCGTTCTGTAAAAATAGTTAAAAAAAGAACCAACAGCTGGAGTCCTAAAGAGACTAGGAGGGGAAAAAATCTGACATCACAGATATACTGCAGGGTGTAAGCAAGACTTAGTCAGAAAGACAAATACGGTATTTTCCCCCATTCAATCACAATTTGTTCCTCCCCGTCTCTTCCACCACTTAATAATTAGTTTTCTACAGCCCCTATTTTACATAAGCCGAGAAGAAACGTATGCAAATCCTTCTTTTAGCATATGAGCTTATGGCTCATTTGTAATGTGCAAATTGACTTACCAGCAGTCTGATCATTAGAGTTTGAGGAGATGGGAGATTAACTGGTGGTGAGGATGAAAAGAGAAGAATGTGTGAGCGTGAAATTCATCATGAGAACAAGACAAACTGTAAAACACTTTTTTCAGTTTGAAGATTTACTTCCAATACTTATTTGCACTTTTTTCTTTGCACATTTTACACCTACACCAAATGAGCAGAGAAAATGGATATCAGTATGTCAAGAAATCATAGCCTGAAAATCGCATAAATTTTCCTCAGCAAAAGTTAATCTGTTTTGCAAAATGACTAGAAATACAAATAATTGTACCTTTTCTGATTAAATAACAGCTCACATTCATCACACTGTTAGAGTGCGATAACGGTGTAATTGTTTTTACTGATCAGTAAAAGCAGAGCACTCACCCTCCTGTGTGAAATCAATCTTGAAGCTGGGCTCCTGGTTGCTCTTTTTCTTGTTCCCCAACACGATGAGACTCTTGCAGAGAGGAGTCGTGGCATTGCTGAACTGTGACGGCGTCAGATAGTACAGCAACTTGGGCCAAAGCACCTTCAAACCAAAACAGAAAAGTAAATTCACAGTAAGAATATCAGCATTCATTATCTGTGAACGCATCAGACAATTACGTCAGCGAGGCGGCCAACGGTGGTGGTGAGAAGATGGAGGGTGCTGTCACACATCGTCCTTAGTGCCTCATTGGTCACCTCCTCTGGATCGCTCGTTGCTCTTTGGTGGGACTTTAAGACATGGAGGAGCAAATATTCTTACATTTTTACCATCTTAAAAAGTGCAAAAAATATAAAAGAAGCAACTTTTTTCTAGGCACTGTTAATTAATTAGCTTCAGGAGTCATTAAACAACTATAATCTTAGCTGGACCGTTAAGCTGATTAAAGTGCATTTTTATCTCCTACCATCTGCAGATCTCACATATAAGAAGTTAGTTGCTGTATTTTATTGCATGTGTCTGCTTGTAAATCTGCCATCTTCTTTTTTGTGCCAAATCAGCTTTGGTGGGACATGATCCACCACACAATTCTTTTAGATAAATTACTTCGTCTGACTTATTCAATTCCACAAAAGTGGACAGCTGGAACAGATGTTTCAAGTTTGTTTGTTTTTTTACCTGGTATGTGTCGTGCAGAGCACAGTTTTGAACTATGAATCGGACCAGTAATTCCCCTCCCTCTAATTCCAGGTAGCCATGATGTGCCATGGCGCTGATCACCTGGACCACACACTTCTTCACCTGCAAAACAGACGTATCCAGATACTCAGCCACAAGGCAATATGATGTTCTTAATATTAAGAACCCTGACCAAAAGAAAAAAATCCCCCAGAATAAAATGGATCCATCTTTGCACTGTTATGATGTTACCTTGTTGCTGTGGTCAGCCATTGGCTGTCTAATACTGGCCAGAATCAGAAGCTTTTTGCTCTCCATTGTAGAAGCTGCAACACAGCAATGCACATAAAAGGTGAAAGTATTCATAAAAGCTATGTTAAAATTTTTTTTATTTGTGGTGTGTGGTTGCAGCATTTTCCTTACAGGAGGAGTTTATGAGGTGCCGAAGCACAGCCAGGGAGCCCATCCTGCTGCGCTCGTTACTGTTCTCCAAACGCTGCAGGACGTACATGACCAGCCGGTCCGGAAAAGAGTTGGCTAGTGGGAGAGGAGAGCAGAAACACGCAAACGAGTAAAAAAACTGCGGCAGACAAAGTTGACATAAAAGTAAACATTAATAAAATAAATAACTAAATGGAAAAAGTTCAAGTCAGAAAAAGAAAACAAGCAAGCAAGTGAAGGGGGAGAAACTGTGGAGCAACTTTCACAGTTAACGAGATTATGTGGAGACAGAGCCAACACGCTAATGCACGATCTCATTACTGCACTTGTGACTCCATAGAGCTACATTAGATAGATCAGCCAGTTGATGGGGTTTAAACATTGCCATATAAACATTGTGGTCACCCTTCCCAATTTAATACATACATAGAAATAAAAACAGAACCAGTACCGAGCAGGCTGAAGCAACGCAAGACTTCGTTGTGGTTCTTGACAGTCGGAGGGTCGCTGTAATCAACAAGAGCAGAAACCTGCAGGAGACGAAGGAAAAGTTACACCCATTTCTGATCTGATCAAAACTAATTTAATGCAACTCATTTGGATACAAACAGTGTCTGTAACTTCATTTGCATATGTGAACTTAAAGCTGTACTTTTTTTCCATTTAATTGCTTTGTATTGCGTCAAAGTGCTTACACCAATCACAACCCATTCTGATTTTTCTGTAACAATTATAATACAAGAAGAAATTTGAACATGAGCTTTTATTCCTGCCGTCCTGCTGTGAAAGTTCACTCATTCTTTAAATTATCAAGGAGGTTTTGCTTAGAGTGTGGCAGTAATGACTGTCTATTACATTATATAAGATAACAGATCATGCTTTTTTCCTCTTTCTTATAGTCTCATTGAATTAAGTCATGTTTTTATTGACGAGTTTCACAAAATTCCTTATAAATATCTTGTTATATTTCAATGCTTAATTTGACCTCATCTTTAAGCACACCTGAAATGAATTCAACAACCTTCAAGTCTGTGACACTACTTGCAATAACTTGCATGTTGCAAAGTAATGTCATCGTAACCCAGGGCTTGTATTCGGTTCAGGTTCTGATCTGACAAAGATTTGATTATTGAGTTACAAAACCAGCCAAGCTAAAAGCTAAAAATTCAATGACTGACATTGGCGGCTAATTTCGCTCTTCAATAATAATGTGAACAAGAAAAGAAGCAATGACAAACCAATCTCACTTTTCTATGCTTTGTCCATTTTTTAAAAAAGCTTCTGGTCAACAACTTTGCTTTGTTGACAAAAAAGCAAAACAAAACAAAAAAAAGGCACTTTTACAACGTTTACTATTCTTTTGCACGTCCATTCAGTCATTTGTGGTAAATTTCTGCAATAACAAGCATTATTCAAGTGCTGTCAAAGTCCATAAAACCACATGACGATGACTATAATGACATGACATGTGACACAACTAAAGAGAACAATCCGGATCACTGTGATCGGAGCTGCGGCCTCTAACCCGGCGTTGACGCGGCTTTACCTGCTGATGCAGAGCCACTAGGAGACCGTCCAGCTGCGTATCCAGGACTCTGCTGCCCATGTTGACCGACGCTTCCAGGACTTGGCACAAGCTCTGTTGGGACCAAACAGAAAACTCTTAGCCTCCAGCTAACTCCAAGAGTGCGCTGTTGTAGTCAACAACCTGACTGCTTTGGACTGTTTGTGCCCACCTTGCTGATGACGTAGTGCTCGGTGTTTTTCTTGTACAGGGACACGATGGCGGGGATGATTCTGGGGAGCTGCTCCTCCAGTTTATCACTGGCCATCAGGTGACACATAGAGCCCACCGCCTCACCCACTGTCAGCCTGAGCTGGAGGACACACAAAGACAAGGCAGGATATGAGGTGACAGATGAGACGGACATTCACCGCTCCGCACGGGAGGAAATCAGAAGAGAGTACCAGGACAACAGCTGACTTTATTTACAAGTGAAATAAAGTCAATGAAAAATCATAATACCACTGGGACACGTCTTCAAGTCACCAGTTAATAAAAATCTACTGACCAGAAAAAAAACTAGTAAGTTATAAAAGAAAAGAGAAAACATATGTCACTCTAGGAGCATCTGGTCGACTGTCGGGAAGCGTCTTAATGGATCCGACATCGGCTTCAATTAAGGAGAACAGTGGAGGGGCTGTTACTCAGCAGCACTCTTTAATGCAGACTCATTACAAACAGAGGGTTCTTGTGTTTCTTTGGGACTTTTACTTCTCCAGAGGATAAAAATCTTCCTAATTACACCCCAAATATACAACTTTTTGCTACCTACAGGTTGTGTTTGTAGGCTCGTGTATTTCATATCATCTTGTTCAACTATGTGTATTGATCTGGAGTATCCTTTACCTTGGGCTCCCTGCTTTGTAACCAGTTATTGAAGAGAATGTCAAAGGCCGCATAGATTTCACCGGAGAATGTGTCTTTTCTGACTGTGGGGTCTGGAGCTTTGTCCAGGTTGGCCAGGTACTCCAGGATGCTGTCACTGAAATGACACAGCGCTGCAAGGACAGCAGGAGAGAGAGCGACAAGCACGAAACAGAGGAGGAGGAGCAGGAAACGGGGAGATTACTTATCCTGAAGGTGTCACTTTGTGTTCCATCGTTATTATTCAGAACATCCGAGGACAAATGTTTGAAATTCTTAGTCGGTTCTTTAAGATGAGAAGTGAGCGGAATGGTGGGAGGTTCTTACCGGATGAAAATACCCACTTCATGTTGTCCTGTTTGGCCATGCCCAGCATTGGCAACATGGTTCCCAAGATGGCATTCAGGAACGGCACCATCCCATAAACTAGAAAATAAAAATATTGAGAAATTATATCATAACAAAACCATGAAAAAAATAAAAAAACATTTCCTTTTCCATGGCAGGATAATCTCTCAAAGGTGTCGGAACGTTTGAGTGAGTCTTAATGTGGAACCGGCTCATTCTATAAAACACTAAATAGTGGGAACGTTTCTGAGCAGGTTAAACAGGTTCCTGTTCTTCTCCTGACTGTCACTCAATACTTTCGTGACAGAGTTGTGACTTCCTGGTCAGTGGCTGGCGAGTTGGTTCATGTGAGCCACTCTGTGGTTGGTTACCTCACTAGAGACTGAAATGTTTTTTTCCCCCCTTTCTGTGTCTCACCGTTTGAGTCAGAGAGGTTGGCCAGCGTTTGAACCACGAAGAAGTGAGGTAGCACCCCTGGCTGGAACTTGCTCAAGATCTCCTCCATGATGTCATTGATGCGTTTGTTTCCCACGGCAACCAAGATGTTACTGGCCGCCTGCTGCCAGTCAGGAACGACGTCCTTAGACGCACGATAAGAACAACACATTATTATCAGTCTGTGGGTGTTATTTACTTTGTGTTATTTTAAATGAAAATAAAGGAGCAGCCGTTTCACCTTGGATCTGGTCATTTCCTCTGAAGCCAGGGAGATGATGCTTTTTATTCGGGGAGCACTGAGCTCCTCTATCCTGCAGCCAACAATCAGCTCAATGGTCTGAAGAATCACAACTCTGTGACTCACTACAAGCTGCAAGAGGAAAACCGAGGAAGAGCAGATTATGAGGAAGGGGAGACCGATCAGTAGGTTGATGCACCGCGAGCCTCTGGAGGCACCAGCAACTTCAAATAACTATTTGCTGCTTTGTAAGGTCATTTTAACGTCTCCTCTCTTAATCCCATGGATTTGTCTAACAGAAACCTTCCTCATTGTGCCTTTATCTGTACAAACACATCTTTGTTCTGAATCAGCCACAAATCTCTTCACAGTATGATAACGCTTCAGTTTTTGTTAAATATCTAATGTTTTATTACCTTGTCATATAGCACTACACTATCTGATGATTTGTCAGCAGAGATCCTTTCTCTTCCCATATTGCTTGAAACCTGTGGCCTGCTTGATAATGTGGAACATCCTTCTTAAGTAGATTTTCTTTAATTGAGCTAACAAGGCAAACTAATCAACCAGCTCTGAAATTAATTATAGCCCTGACACACAATATCATCTATAAATTTAATAGCACAACAAAAAATTTAATCTTTGACACTTTAATCCAATTTGCATAATAGTCATGAGCTGAGTCAGGTCACTGAACTAATGTAAAAGTAAACTAAGTCAAAGCTAAATCTATTAATGTTTCATATTTAAACCTTAAACATTACTGATAAACTTGATTTGTTCAGTTGTGTTGGAAACAAAAGGCTGAATTAAAACCTATGAACCAATAAAATGACACCATGTTAAATCAAATCATGTCTATTCTTCACTCTATAGTTTTAGTTTATCTTTTGATGGCGTTTTCAAGATTACATAGTGAAACCTGCGGCGCTTCTGAAGCAGCGTTGACACAGTTTCATTTCCTTATTTGTAGTTCAAGTGTCTCACAGCAAACATCAGCATCAACCAATTTGCAGAAGTTTAGATTAAAAATAAATCAATCAATTAACATTCTCAAAAAAGAAAGTTTTAGAATTTGCCCAGCTCCATGTCATTTAAATTAGACCTAATGATTGACAAGACAATAACTGAATATCCTGAAGTTTTACCTTGGGATTCTTCAGGAGGTAGTCCTGGCACATGGCCAGCACTCGGTCTGGCTGCTGCTTTCCCAGAGTCAACATAGACTTTCTGACCTGATCCTGGACCTCAGAGTCCTTATCATTGGCTGCATCTAGCAGGGCCAGAGTCACCTCTGCAGATTCAAACACAGCAAAAGAAACAAGTATGTCAGGCGGACTTGTACTTACATGTAAATGAGAACAGAAAACTTAAGTCAGAACGTTTCAATTTGAAAAGTCGTGACAAAGAAAGACTTTGGCATGAAAACTTACGTTCTATATCTGTGTCGTCCATGGTGGTTGCCAAGAAGACAGGCTTCCTGAAACCAGTGAGCGGCGAAGCTGGACACTTTCTGCTGGGGACAGATGAGCAGAGGCTCCCTGGAGCTGAGAAACAAAATGTAAACCACCATTAATACAGGGAGAGATTGTTGGAAAGAATTACAGCTGCATCAGTCAGTCTATACCAGGCTGCCAGATTTCTGGTTTTAGTTGTTCATTCTGTTTTTTTCCTCCAATGGATTACAGTACAAAAGAGAAAAAACAAATCTGTTGTACCTTTTTTCATAGAGAGAGTTGTTCTGAATCAAACGGGAATTAAAGAAAAGATCGTCCCCGTACATGCATCGGACGGCTTCTCCAACCTTGCTTCTACAAAATGCAAACAGTGCTTCCACATATATTCGGCAGGCTGACGCTTTTAATGACTTTGAATGGAGGAAGTTCATGTCACCAACTAATTCTGCTCTCTGGTTTGTAAACAGGTGGTCACAAACCTCATAAACATGCACCAAACATCCCTTTTCACATTAAAAATGGGGTTTTAGCTTCCGAAAGTTTTATGCAAACAATAGATTTCCTAAAGCTTGTGCACATCGGTATTATTATTTATTTTTAATTAGTTTGCAAAACCAGAGAAGACAGCAGCAAGTGGTGCTTATTAATTTTGCCAAGCTGCATGTCAACCAAGTCATTACTGAAGGAAAACTGTGCAGCTTCTAGTGACCAGAGCTCACTCAGCAGGTAATGTGAAAACCTGCGTGACAGCTTCCACACACTTTACACACTGAACAACAGAGTGGAAACGGTTTGACTGCATTTACCTAAAAGCTAAAAAACAAAAAGTCGCAGCTGCCACCATTGAAAACCCCTTTAAATGAAGACATAATTTAGCACCTCCGACACAGTTACTGGAGCTCAAACGCAACACGATATTAAAAGACAACAACACTGTGAGCTGCTATGTCAGCAATATAGTACTTTAGGGTAAAATAAATATTATTAAGGAGGTAGTTTTAAATGAGTAGGACAGAAAAGCTGCTGCAGTGACTAAGCCGCTGACACAGGTTAGCGCACTAGCCTAGCAGCTGCTACGGAAGAGCAGCTAGCACTCAGGCTAATGTCCACACAGCCCACTCACCGAGAGAGCGTCCCCACAGCAAACCGCGTCCTGACGCAAGGTCAAATCCTTATCCCGGCTTGACGGAGAGGCAGCGGGACCCGTCAGGGTGTGCGTGGTGAGCACGGTGATGTGTGCAGGTGTAAACACGCCTTGGTCATGTGCTTCTTGTCAGCAGGAAGGCAGGAGGCTGACAGGGGGCGTTTCCTGCATCCCTCCACCCAGCACCACCTGCATAGAGTACATAGAGCTGCTGCTGCATATCATATCGGGAAATAAACAGAACAATAATGAAAAATACGCTTGAAAATTGTAAAAACAGCTGTTCTCGTGTTTTTCTTCAGCTCAAACGTTGACTTCATGCAAGACAAAGCTGGATGGAGCCATATTTAAACCAGAAACAATGATTGCCTCAACAAAATCCACTCCCTCCAAGGCAAACACTCCCAAGATCTTAAAACAAACACTGAACAAAGAGCTTTAAAGATTCTGTCATCCTCCATCTGAATGACGCTGCATCAATGTGAAATCATTTGACAATTGTGCAACACCACGTGAAAACGACTGCATGACAGGAAATCTGGATCAGCCCAGATAAGCTCTCATTTCCCTTTAAATTTTAGTCACAAATATTCAGTTTAAAGAAATGTTGAAAATGCTCAAAGCAATCTGCTGTTTGTCACATAAACTACAGTCAGAACCGGTCATCCCACGAGTAGGTGAAATGAAGCTACCCTGACATACAGGTCTCAAGATGGGAGGCAAAAAGTAGGCCCACTCCTTCTCTGCCTCTCACCATGGTCAACTCAGCGACCATGAGTTACAGAACCTGATCCAAAGTCCAAGGTTCTGTTTCCTCAGTGGAATATGCGATGGTGAGATTGAGGATGTCTTCGAAGTACTCTAGCTGATCCCAGGCCCATCAATCAAATAGTCTAATCTCACCTTATCTATTTATTTATTTATCTCATTCTCTAACATCCCATCTCAGCCTCTTCACTGTGTTTATGAATCGCCCCTTTGAGAGATCTTCTGTTTACTCTTACCACTGCAGCATAAAGTGACACTCTGCCCAAAACATTTGCAATGGGGATTTTATTCCCGAGTTTGCTTCTTTGATTGAGTCGCAAGACCAGTTCCTGTCCTTCTTCCAGTTTAGTTGCGTTTTGTCGCCCTCTCCTGGTCATGTTTGAGTAAATGAGTTTTTTTCCCCCCTGTTGTATTTTTCAGCATGTTGCGATTAAAAACAAAACAAAACCAAAAACAAACAAACAAAAAATACATAATAAAAGTAGCAGCATATTATAACTGAACAGTTTGCCAGTAATTTGTGGCACTTGAGTTTAAGGTTCTATTTAAATGAGGACCAGGTCAGTTTTTGGTCTCTTGAGCAGAAAAAATATTTTTTATTCTCTTCCCATAAAACTAGGGTTTAATTTCCTTTTATGCCTGGACTCAATGAAATAATGCCATGTCAATTTCATCTTCAAAAGACATTTGCTTTGAAAATTAGTGACGTGTTCAAATCCTGTTGATAAAATTCAGTAACTTTGAATATTATTGAAAAGTTCACTTATTTGTGTTCAATTTATCACTAATTGAACACATTATGTAGATTAATTAAACATATGGATGTTTGATATCTTATATTGTGATGATTTTTCTCTAACAGGTCATGAAAACGTGGCATTTAACGTTAGATTATTGCCTCGGACCAATGAAAAATGTTACATTTAAAAAACAGAAATGCATGCAGTTGTCACCACATCTTGATTTCTCCTTTCTTCTTTCCGAGGCTTGCAAGTAGGACACGGCTTGTTCAGATCCACATCTGGTTAGAGCTTAGTAGTCATTTATGGACCCGATTTTATCTATTTCAAAGAGTCCAAACTCAAAGAAGCAAACTTAATTCACTGTTTATCCCAGTTTGTAAACAAGGACAAAGTTTAGTTTTAGGACAAAAAAGTCAAGCATCAGTTATTTCCTCAGGACATTCAAGGCTCCTGCTTCAAAAGACCAACATGAGCTCAGTGTGTTTGGAAAGAGGCTTTTAAGTGTTTGTAGTTTATATAATATTGTGTCTCATCCACACCACCACTGGTGCTACAATCCAACTATGTATATTATGCATATACTGCCACATTTTACTAATTGTAGAAAGGATTGCTTACTTTTGTTTCTGGTCAGCGCATTGAGCCATGCACTCCCTTGCAGGAAACTGTTGTAACTTCAGTATATCTATTTTAAATGCCACTCTGACATAAAGCTGTGAAAATAAAAGAAAACTAACTTGGGGTTTGCAAACATCTTACAAGTAAATATCTAAAAAAACAAAAGTATTCAGCCCCCCCGCTGAGTCTTTTTGCTGTGATCACAGCTGCAGGTTTTCCTGGCCAGCAGAATAAAAATGATCCCCACATTACCATGCTGCCACTGCCATGTTTCACGCAACACATTTTGTTTGGAGGGATAAAATACTGATTTAAAAATGAAAGAAGAAAAAGGAAAATATTTTCTTCACTTCTGATATTATTTGACTAAACATGCAGAAAACATTTATATGACGAGCCATTTGGACACCAAGCTGTTTATGACACACAAACAAATGTACAGTGATAAAAAAATAAAAACACTGTCGGAATAAGTAATAATAATAATAAAAAAAGAAGCTAAACACTGTTCTGTTGATTTACAGATCTTTTGTCAGTAATATTGTAGCATTGATAGAAAACATGCATTTTGTAAGCGGCTAATTAAAACTTTTGAAGTTCTGTTTAACTTTCCAAGACGTTTTTATAGAAAAGTGCTCAGCAGTACATCGAGGCAAGAAGGTTGAAGATGGTGTTGGACCCAAACAAAACAAATAACTTTTATAAATGTAACGTTAGAAAATAATAAATATCATCAGGAATTTGTTTACATTCATTTTCAGTGGCATACAGTTAAATAATTCAGTATTTAATCCGTTCTGCTGCCTCCTGCTGGACTCAGAGACACAATATGAGCAATAAAGAAGTTATCAATGACAAAACGACAATTCTGTCTGTGAAAGTGATGAACATTTGTTGTGCCAAGTAAATGTCACTGTTTTTCCTTCACAAACGAAATTACAGCAATTAGACAGTAACAAAACTATGACCCTGTAAAACACGGACGTCATTATTACCCTGTTACCCTGTTTACAAACAAGTATAAAAACTGAGGCTAACAGCCATGCTAGCAACAGGAAGTGCAGGATGAGCTCAGTTTTATCGCCATCAGTCCATTTCCTCCTGCATGCTTCACTTCTCCCACAGCAGCTGGGATCCACTGACTTCTTCTCTGGATCTCTGTACAACATATAGTCTTTCGTTTTTCTCTTCTGTGGGTTGGAAAGCCTCACAGGTTAGCAGTGGGGTGTAATTTCCTGTAGATATAAAAAGGAAAAAAAAACAATAGCGTGTTAAAATAAAAGCAAAAACACAATCCGAAACTGCAAAATGATTGCAATTTTTTTTCTGCTTTGTGGCCTGCAGTGCCAAGTTTCTTTTAACTTTAACTTGTTTGTATTTAAACACATTACAATCACAAACGTATTTTTGTTGGATTTTGCTGTGATAGATTGAAAATGATTGGTTTTTAAGTAGAGACAGAAAAAAAAGCATTTATTTTTTAAATTCAATGCAACTAATTTAGTTAGGAATCACTTTACTTTGTAATGGAATCACACTAAATTACACAATTTAAAAATACCAAAAAAGTTGAAAGACTATGAATACTTTTCATAATGTTCACACTGTACTTATGCAACTTGTTGGCGTTTGGGAGAACAAACGTACTCGTTTTTGGTGAGTGGAGCTTTGTCGCAGGTGACCTCTGAGAGTTGACCGGCTTCTTTGCTGAGCGTCTGAACCCCTGACTGCTGAATGCTGCTTCTGGGTTTGGAGAGACCCTTCAGAGTTACTTCTCTGCAGGCAAAACATGCAGGGATATTTAGAAGAAGGTTCTTGGCAAAAGAGAATATCTGTGAGGTGGTCGTCGTCCAGACTGCTGCTCACCCGTTAGTTGTCCCCTCTCCTTCCTCGACCTTTTTGAGGCTCGGGTCTTTCCACCTGGACACTTTCCCTGCAATGGCCATGAGCAGACCACAGCGGTTTCTGTAGCAGCAGGTGGCGTCCACTGCCAGGAACACCAGCAGGAAGATCAATATCACGATGCCAACCACAGTGCCTTTGGTCATCTTGCTGCTCACTGCGGTGAACAAAGGGAAAATATTACCCAGATGAATTGAATTATTATCTTTAACTTAAAACGAGCGTCATCTAATGTAGAACGAGAGACGCAACACACCAGGCTGTTCTGCAATTGTGAAGTTGAACGTTGCAGGGATGGAGGAGCCATTAGAGTTAACGGCTCTGACTTCCAGGTGATAGTCTGAGCCGAAGGCGAGGTCTTTCAGGCTGACAGAGTTAGCATCGGTGGGAAGCTGCAGAGTTTTCCACTCACTCTCTTCTGTATCCTGGATAAAAAAAAAGGAGCACAAGAAGCGAATTAATGACAAGGAAGAACAGAAATAACACAGGCAGACCTGAGCTCACATGGTCTCTCACCTGTTTGTATTGGACGTTGAAGTGCAGCAGAGCAGAGCCACCATTTTCAATTTGTCGAAGAGGAACAGAGAAGGAGTTTCCCTCCACCACTGCCTGACTTGTGGATAAAGCTGGACTGTCTGGTTCACCTAAAATCAGGAGGGGAAACCATTCAGCTGTCGCCTATAATAATTAACTCGAAACTTTGGGATTTATATGATTAGAATATATTTCATCTGCAGGTTTTTATTTTTGCTAAAGAGCATGGGAACTTTACCTTCTGCAAAGGGAGGACAGCAGGTGAGGAGGTGATGTGAGTGGAATCAGCAGGAATGACGACATGAAGATGTTAGGATGATGATGAGTTCAATGAAAGATGGACATGAAGAACCGGAGATGGCAGATGAAAATGAAGATGAGACATTACATAGTTTTTTTTATTTTTATGTCCAAACACTTTACAAGCAAGTCACCAACTTTGTAACATGATTTTTTTCTTTTTTCTCTATTTACTGATTAGGCGGTTTCCGACAATGACTTGCAGTCAGGGTAATCAGAGTCTAGAGGATTTCTGGTGGAAATCCCATAAAATCCAATGA